TTATTTAAAAAAATTAATCAGAGTAATTTTTTACAGTTAGTGTTGTCAAGTGCAAATTGTGTATGATTTTATTTATTTATTTATTTAWTTAATTAGGCACAATGATATAAAATATTTATATAGCTACAATTATTAAATAATAATTACAATATATATATATATATATATTACTGATAATTTTTTTTCACTTAAAATACTATTATCTATAATATAATAAATATATTGTATATAATAGTATTTTAAGTGAAAATAATACCAGTAATAAATACTGTAATTAATATTTAATAATTRTAGCAATTTAATTTATTGTCTTAAAATAAAAAATAAACAAATTTATAATGATAATTATATCATATATATATATAGTGTTATGCCATAATATTTRTTGATAAATTTTTAACCTTAAAGTACTATAATTAAAATATAATTAWAAATAATATTCAATTATATATATATATAAATAAATTAGTTTTATTATTATTTTTTATATTTGTAATTAACTTAATTGACTCAAAAAAATAAAATATTATAATCAAAAATATCATTATATTTGTTAGATATAACTTTAGAAATTAAATTATTTAAAAACAATACAAAAATTATTATAAAAAAAATCTACAAAATATATTATAAAATAAATTTAAAAAAAATAGATTTGTCAAAAAATTTTTCTATAAATATAATTTTTTTGAAAAGTTTTTGAAAAATTAAATTTTTATAATAAATTTGTGATTTTTTTTATTCTAAAAAAAATAATTATAAAAAACCAATGAATATTAATTTAATTTAATTTAATTTTTTTTATAAACAACTAGATTATAGTTTACTATAAAAAAAATAAACTTAAAAAGTTTTTCAATAATTTTATTTGTTATAAATTTTTCTTATATAACAGTTGCCTAAAAAAATAGATAAATAAATATAAATTTTAAAGTAATTAATAATGAAAATTAAAAAAATGTATCTATAGAAATGCAATTAAAATTATTTTAACTAATGAAAAATTTATTAAAACTAATTATATATATATATATATATAACACAACTAATTATATTAAAATATTAATAGTTTTATTTAAAAAAATAAAAAATAAAATTATTTTACTGTTTTTAGTACATAGAGTGCATTACTTTACAATAATAATAATACTGTCAATACATTTACAATACAAACAAAAAAACATTTTTATTCAAACATTGCAATTGTATTATGCAATGCATAGCTATTATACAGTGTTTACATACAATGATAGATACAATGATTCATAATATTATTAATAATACAGTAATAATAATAATAATAATAATATGAATGATAAACATTATAATGTATTTGTATAGCAATTACTATATGTATTGAACTGTTATATCAATGATATACTAACTGTTAGTGTTTTATAACTTAAATATCATATAATAATAATAATAATAATAAATATAATAAACAATTAGTTTATTATTATTAATATATATATCATATAAACATTAATTGATTGACAACTATATGACTAATATATACCGTATATATCACTGTATTTTAGTATCACATATACAACCCATTGACTGACTAACTGACTGACTGACCACCCGATGACCTACAATGACCACAACATTACCGACGCCGTCACCGCTGCCGCCGAAGGACTCGTTCGATCGGTTCGGCGACGACTTATCCGGACTATTGTTAGCTCAGTTGCCGACACTTGCGGACCGTTTTCGCTATGGATGTGTTTGCCGTCAATGGCAGCGATTGGTTTACAACGGCCAACAGGAACTGGTTATCGATCGGGAATTAGTCGATAAACTAGAGGCCAATACAACGGCAGAGTCAGCAGCAATGGACAGGTTATCAAAATTGTTGGCCAAATGTCCGTTAATTTCCGCCATAAAACTCCGTAGAGATAATATAGACTACGAAATGATTCACAAGATTATGGATGTATTGGTGGACAACAACACCGCCGACAGCGGCGGCGGTCAACAAATCACATCATACGAAGTCCGTAGCCGTCAAAGTGAGTCTCATACAGATCTGTACCGAYTGGTCGACCAAATCAAACAATTTCGTCGACTAARACRTCTRGCSATTGACTGTCCGCTAGTATACGGTTCGAGTAATCCATGCGCTAATGTATTGCCCGCAGTGGCCAACATGTGTCCYGATATCCAGTCSCTTAAGATTCGTGTCAATTGTTTTGTTGCGGCAAATCTGCGGAATATCTTACGCGATGTTCAACTGTTTCCGCGGTTAGAACGGCTGAAGTTAGGTCTCTATACAGTACAGGACGGYCAGCGGGTGTTTTCCGTCAAATTGTTGGCCAACTGCCCGARACTTAAGTACTTATGGYTKCAATGTTCGCCCGATATGTCCTTTACGGATGTCGACAAAATCAATGGCCACCGCCGACTCCTGAAGCCGGCAATTGTTASCACTGGTGATCCCTATAATTATAACGGTTATAGTAGTAGTCTTACCGGTAGTGGTAGTGATAATGATTAGACTATCYAATCGTAGTTATTATTATTATTAKTATAATTATAWTTAACTAATTGTTTTTKTGTGTGTCTATATCGATATTAATGATAAAAATGATGTTTTTTTTAATATAATTATCATTATTATAATATATGTATTATATATATGATATCATTTAAATGTAATTAATTTTTTTTCACATTTTTCTTAAAAAAAATAATAATTAATTTTTTATTTTACTATTAAATGATATATTACTGTATTTTTTGTTGTTGTTGTTGAATTGATTTAATAAATAAATATATTATTTAAAATTATTTTTTGTTGTGTAATTCAATTGATATATTCCAAACTGTATGTGTTTTGTAAACTTTTTTTTGTAGTATTATTTATAACAGTTATAAAAAGTTTTTTATTTATTTTTATTATTTGATTATTAAAATTAATAATAATAATACTATCAATACATTTATAAATACAAATACGATAACAACATTAATCAGTTAATTTTATTTGATTTTCATTGATTTTTTAATTTTGTTAACAATTTTTTTTAAATAATAATAATAATAATAATAATAATAATACTATCAATACATTTATAATACAATGTATTATACAAATAAGATAACAACAAATTTTTTTTATCAAAAAAAAACAAAAATTGCAATTATATTATGCAATCCAATACTATTGTATAATACATTGTAGTATAAAGTAGTATACAATGTATTATTATACAGTTAATGCCATAAGTATAGAATAAAGTTAAAATTAATTAAATTAAATTAAATAGCAATTAAACTAATAATATTCTTTAAATATTTAATTGAAAACATAAAAACATACAAATAAATAAATAAATAACTAAAAAATAATAATTAAATGATAAAAAATTGCACAAAATTAAAAAAATAGCTAAAATTAATATGACAAAAATTTAGAATTGATTGTTAAATTTAATTGTAATTAATTAATAGCGAGTTTGGCCACCCTTTTCTAAGATTATTTCCACCATCCGGTTTGGCATGGAGTCAATAAGACTTCTAAGAAGTTCCTGAGGAACCTCAGACCATGCCTCCGTGATAGCGGAAATTAATTGTGGCCGGTTGTCGAATTGCCGGCCTTCGCGGTAAACCCGACGTGCCAACCAGCCCCAGAGATTTTCGATGCAATTAAGATCGGGACTGCGTGATGGCCACGGCAAAACTTCGACATCATTGGCCGCAAACCAGTCCATAGTTGAGCCAGACCGATGTGCCGCCGCGTTGTCCTGCTGAAATATCCACGGGACATCAGCGATCAATGGTCCAATTGGTAATAAATGCTGGCCAACGATGTCTTGATATCGGCCAGAATTTATGCGGCTATCGATAATCACTATATCGGTTTTTCCCGAGTACCCAATAGCCGCCCAAACCATCACAGATCCACCGCCAAAGTTTCTAGTGGACAACACCCGACGATCTTCGCGAAGATCGTGCCAATAATAGGCCAGGCCGTCGGGTCCGTCCAAGTTAAACTTTTTTTCGTCGGAAAAGACTACTTGTCTCCACTCCAACGACCAGCGGACGTGCTCAAGACCGAACCTCAGCCGAGCATTTTTATGTGATTGCTCGAGCCGAGGTTTTTTGGCCATTTTCCGCCACCGCAAATACTCATTATTGGACAAAGTTCGTTGAACTGTGCGTAGAGAACAGTTCAACGATATTTTTTCCATAACTTTTCTTGCGGTGAGTTGACGCCGGCCGACCATTGCAACCATACGCCGGCGTTTGTAATCGGTTATGGCCTTTGGACGTCCACTTCGCGGCGAACGTCCATAATTTTCGGGATCTGCCAAATACCGGCTCACTGTTGGCTGAGATCTCCCGATTGCCGCCGCTATTTTGGTTGTAGTCCAGTCCGGATGTGTTTTCCGCAAAATGTCAATTTGTCCTCTTTCGACGTCCGTTAATTGCGTTTTGCGGCCCATTTGGATCTGAAAATTAAAAAAACAAATCAATTAATTATTAATATTTTAAGTTAAATTAAATTTTATACTTACCTTTGTTGTTATTGAATGAAAAATGGCGTCTTCACGTTTTATTCTAGATATTCAAATTACAATAAAAAGCACAACATAGTAATTCGATAATGTAATTTGTAATTAAATTTTATTATTTTAAAAAATATTCGACATAAAAAAATTTTGTTTTTAGAATAAGTAATAGTATAAAAATCTTTATCTAATTAGTGTCTACTATCCATAAATTACGTCATTTTATTTTTGACTATTTTATATAATGTGTTATTCCACAAGTTTGAAAAACCATAAAAATTTTATTCTTCGACCAATATTAAAAATTTTTTCTTTCCGTAAATTTTCAATGTTAGCTTTACAAAAATATAATTGAAATTTTATTCTATCATTTATAGATTAGGTTCTGACATAGTGGTTTGCAAGCATCCCAAAATAAATATGATCACGTGATCAAAATTAAAAATTTAATATTTAATAATATCACGCGTAAATCATATATTAATACACTTTTTACAAAATTAATATATCTCACTCCGTTTAAGAATTATAGCAAAAACCGCATGTGCTAAATATATGAAAAACCCTTTTATATATATATCACTGTATTTTAGTATCACATATACAACCCATTGACTGACTGGCTGACCACCCGATGACTACAATGACCACAACATCATTACCGATGCCGTCGAAGGACTCGTTCGATCGGTTCGGCGATGACTTATCCGGACTATTGTTAGCTGAGTTGCCGACACTTGCGGACCGTTTTCGCTGGGAATGTGTTTGCCGTCAATGGCAGCGATTGGTTTACAACGGCCAACGGGAACTGGTTATCGATCGGGAATTGATGGATAAATTAGAGGCCAATACAACTGGAGAGTCGACGCCAGCAATGGACAGGTTATCAAAATTGTTGGCCAAATGTCCGAACATTTCCGCAATAAAACTCCAAAGAGATTATATAGACTACGAAATGATTCATAAGATTATGGATGTATTGGTGGACAACACCGCCGACAGCGGCGCCGGCGGTCAACAAATCTATTCATACGAAGTCCGTAGCCGTCAGAGTGAGTCTCATACGGATATCTATCGACTGGTCGACCAAATCAAACAATTTCGTCGACTAAGATGTCTGGCCATTGACTGTCCGCTAGTATACGGTTCGAGTAATCCATGCGCTAATGTATTGCCCGCAGTGGCCAACATGTGTCCCGATATCCGGTCGCTGAAGATTCGTGTCAATTGTTTTGTTGCGGCAAATCTGCGGAATATCTTACACGATGTTCAACTGTTCCCGAGGTTAGAGCGCCTTAGCTTAGGTCTGTATGCAGTACACGACGAGTGGGTGTTTTCCGTCAAATTGTTGGCCAACTGTCCCCGTCTTAAGTACTTATGGCTGCAATGTTCGCCCGATATGTCCTTTACGGATGTCGACAAAATCAATGACCGACTACTCGTGAAGCCGGCAATTGTTACCACTGGTAATCCCTATAACTATAACTATAATAATAATAATGATAATAATAATAATAATAATCAAAGATCTAGTAGTAATAGTAATAGTAGTAGTATTAGTACCAGGGTTTTAAAAATGGCAACCATTAACAATAGATGCCTATTAATGTAAAATGTATGACCTGGGTATCTATTAATTTAATTAAAAAAAAAATTAAATTTTAACTTTATAAATTAATTTTTTTTTACTTTAATTTTTATTATTACTATTAATTAGTTAATTAAATAATTTGGTATAACTTTTAAATTATACGATAATCTATTATATATATATTGCTATTATATACAGTATTTAATTAACAAAATAATTAAAAAAAAATTATGTTTTATTTTTTTTAATACTGTAATTACAGTAACAATTTAAACTTAAATAAAATAGATGCCTGAAAATGTGCCCTGGTGTATTTATGCCATCTACTATTTGGGTGGGGGGGGGTCGGGGAGTGCCAGGGCAGGCATTTTAAGTCCTTAAAAAACCTTAAAATTAAAATTAATAAATAATATATATATATATATAGTTTTATTAAGAAAATAATGTTATTATATTAGTAACGCAATTATTTTATGTTTTAAAAATAATATTTTATGAAATACATTTTTTTTATTAATTAAATTTCATGTTATTGAATAAAATGTTTTTTGAGTTAATTTTAATTTTATTTTTTTTCTAAATAAAATATAGAAATGTGTTTATAGTTTTAGAAAAAAAACTGTTTTATGATATAATAATAATAACATTAATGATAAATAATAATATATAATAATACTGTACTAAACATATTTATTTAATAACTTATTATTATAAAAAAAAAATATTAAAAAGTTACCTGTTTATATATCATAATTATTTTTTTAAAAAAATACAGTACAACTAAAAACACATTTACAATTTATATAACAAATTAAGTTTACCAAAAAACATTTTTATGAAACAATTAAAATAAATAAATATATATATAATTAAAAACAAACAAAAAAAATTAAGTCCAATAATTATAAATAAATTGTGTATAAATTTTGTGGACAATTGCCGGCCGTTTTAATTGTTTGTTAATTATGTCTATATTTGTAAAATCCATTTCCGGCGAACATTCCAGCGACAGGTGCTTAAGTCGGGGACAGTTATTGTTGGCCAACGACTCTACCGAAACTATTTGCTGTTTGTCTATTGGCTGTAGATCTGATATATAATAAGTTCAATAACTAAATATATATATATAATTTTTTTTTTTGATAAACAATCTGAGTTAATGATGAAAATTATGAAAAGTAAAAACTATTTTGTATACATATATATATATATATATACAAACTATTGAACATTTAAAGAGTTTTTTATCTGTACTATATATATATACTAGTATATATATATATATATATATAGGTATGAAAGTTATTAATGAATCTATAATTGATATATTAAACTTATATTAACTTTTCTATAATATGTAAAATCCCGTAAAATTTTTTTTTTATTAGGGAA